CTAGCGTTGATTCTCTTCCTTCTCTTGTAAGGACCTTGCTCTATCAGTTACTACTTCTGTGCCTCTCAAATGGCCTTTGGAATGCAAACATGCTCAAATCTCACCAACTTTAAAATAAAGAAAGTAATTAATAATAATCACATACACACATAAACACACACACACACACACACACACACACCAACTACCTCCCTCTGTATGTCAGCTATTGTGGTCCTGTCAAAAAGGCCATTCCACCCTCTTTCTTGAATGGTTAACTTCTACTCACATTTGTATCTCCAGAATTACTTCTGGGAATCCCATCATTATTGCCACATTCTTGCTGTATACCACGTATTCCCCTACAGGCTGCATTATAACTGTCATTTGTCTTTCCAAAGCTCTAAATAGGCTGTGGAGTCACTGAGGCCCTGGGTTGTTCCCCTGTGTCCCCAGCAGATAGCACGGTGAATCAGGCAGAACAGGTGCTCAGTAACACCAAATGAAGGGAACAATTCTCTGTAAAGCTTCTTAACTAATGAGACATTTCCCACTTCCTTCCTTCTTTATCCATCATATGTATTGAAAATGTTGAGTTGTAGTCATATTAGCAGAAGTTATTTTCTATCATCTGTCTCTCCCAACCTTTGTTGCAACATTTTCTAAACTATTTATTAACATATTTTTATCTACCACTAGACTCTGAGCTCCAAGTAGTAAGCATCTAGCATACTTACCTTCCCATTTGGAGCACCTACTAGATTGAAGGTCTCTAAAATTAACTAAAAAAAAGGAAACAAGGAGGGAGGAAGAAGGAGGGACAATTCTGAACAGGAGGAGAAGGCCAAGGTGTGGGGTTTGCATAACACAGTGAGGTGAAAATGATGAAAACAAAAGATACCCAATTCCAAAATTCTCAGTTGACTTAATATAAAATGGTAATTATTTGTCAAAAGGTTAACACTGTATTGTATATTTAATTAAATAAATATAACTTCTTTATACACCCAAACTCTTTAAATTTACACTCCACATTTTGTGATATATCCAGTTTCCCCATTGATCTCAAGGGATAATATTGCTCCTCATAAAAAGATTATATAATTTACATTTCTTAAAAAAGAGAACTTATAACAACAATATTAAAGTAATCTAATGTGTACGCCTACGCCGTTCTGGAAATGGGGCATCATCACATAGGTAAATGATTTAACTCCAGACTACCCTAAGAACTAAGCAGAACAGGTCCTTTTATTTTCATTTTACACTTGAGAAAATGGAACTTCAGAGAGGTTAAGAGGTGTGCACGCCTTGAAGCTGTTAAAAAATTGAGGAAGAAGGTGAAAGGGAGAAATAGTAGATTTGCTCTTCTGAAAATGTTTCAGTGGGAGAAATGTAATCTTAATCAGCGACAACAAGCACTTATTCAGCATTTTCCTCTTGGAGCCCAGCTCTGTCCTCCCTGCACCAGAAATTTTACCAAAAGAAAGAGCAGGCATCACACCTCAGCCCTTCAGATAGCAATTTTTTTGAGAGACCTTGGCCTTTCAAGTAATTTACTCCACAAACACTCTGAAATTTTAGAGTGTCAAGAAAAACAATTGTTAACTGAAAGCTTAACATATAATACAGCTAGCACACTATTTTTTTTGGTTAAATATATGATACAGTAAAGGGTTTCATATGTGTGTGTGTGTGTGTGTGTGTGTGTGTGTGTGTGTGTGTGTGTGTAATGGGTGTATACTTTCGAGGACTCAGATAATTTCTGTGTATTGATCCCACAACAAAATACTGCCCCACCACCAACCTGTATCTTTGTGTTCCTCCCATCCTGTTCTGCCCAACTAGAATTCCTCTCTGCATGTTTATTTCATTTGTTTATTCAT